CCGTGTAACTATATAGTTACTCAATTGGAACAAAACTTTTCATTCCATTTCTCCAACGTCGAAGGCCACAATTTCTGCAGAATCCTCGATTAGCCAGAAACATGGCGCACTGTGGATCATCCGGCGCCAGAAACCGGTCAAACCCCACAACTCGCCGACACAAGCCTTACCAACAGCAACGTTTTAATCGATTTCCGCACGTAACCTCTCTCACCTCAAAATGTGACGGAGCGCACATGATTGAAGTGACATTTAACGCTGCCGACAATACGGCATGTTTAGTCTGCGCAGGAAGCATATCCCTGAAAGATATTGTGCACGGGGTACGACAATGGGTGCAGCACACTCGCTACGCTGCAGACATAAACCTGCTCTGTGACATCAGCCAGGCACATTGGCAACAGGCCATCGCCGATTTTCGACAGGTCAGCGAGGCTGTTGTGGAACGCATCAATCAGGACTGGCAGGGCCGCAAAATAGCCATCGTCACCAACAGCTATACTGAAATCGCCCTGATCGAGAACCATCTTGGCGCAATGGGATGGTACGCCGAGTGGCGCGGTTTCATGTCTACTGAAGCAGCCAGACAATGGCTGCTCGAGCCGGACAACCAGGCCGCTAACGCCAGCTAGGACTCAAGGCTCAGGCGTCGGCGGCCGGTTGCCTGCGTCTGGCAAGTAATACGGCAACCGCTAACAGAGCAAGCATCAACAGATAGGTACTACTGCCGAACTTCAGTGCATAACTGGCATCGCCCAACCCAACAATCTGGCTGGAGAGCCAGGGGCTGATGGCCGTGCCTGTTGTTGCGCCGAGCAGCAGGCTGGATACCAATCGTGGCGACGCTATAGCGGTGAAAGTACTGCCGTAAGACAAGACCACTTTCAACAACCCGAGATTACCAAACCCCCACACCGCAGCCAGCCACCACAGCCACGTAACATCCGTCACCAGCCAGATGGGTATGGAGAACAGCAGGGTTGATGACGCCGACAGCCACAGCAGACGATTAACGCCGATGCGTAGTACCCACCAGGCAACAAACAACTGCGCAGCAAACATCCCGCTCCAGAATTGGCCTACCAGTGCGCCCCCGGCATCAGCCGACGCACCCAGCTGCTGTTGGGCGTATTGCGGCAACCACCAGAGAATTGAATTCTGCGCCAGGGTGTAGGTACACAACGCGGCAATACATAACCAGGCTGAAAGCGGCCAGGACCTGGGTGATGGATCCGCAGCGGCTTCACCGTTTGATTCCGGATAACTGGAAAAGAGCGCAAGCAACACAACTGACACCGCAATAGCTGCAACAAAAAGGTAAACGCCGGACCAATGAAAATTATGAGCCAGCAGGGTCACCGCAACCCAGGCGCAAACAATACCTGCCACGCTGAATGACCCATCCGTAATCACCAGCATCGAGGCTCGATGTTCTGCAGCGTAGGTACGCGCAATGACCAATGCCGCAGCCGGCAAACCTATCCCACAACACACACCAACCACGCCCAAACGCCAACCGATGGCATCAATACTGGCACTGAACGGCAGACTCAGGAGACTGATCGCCAGCAACCCAAACAAACCGATCATAGCGGTTTTAATGCGACACCAGTTGAAGACAACAAGCGCGGCAACCGCGCCGACAAAAATACCCACGGTAAGCCAACTGAATTTGGCTGTAACGACGGTCACCGGCAAACCAAATTCCTGCGCCATCGGCGTGCTGATGATGCCTATCGGCGCAAGCATGCCCGACATAATGAAGTAGGCCAGGAAACTCGACAGCGTCGTACGGTAGCGATTCAAAACAGGCATGCCTGGCTTAGCGGTATGAGTGGGGTATGCTACACAAACTTATTGACGAAACTTGCCATGACCACAACAAAAATAATTTTTGATACAGACCCGGGCATCGACGATGCCATGGCTCTACTGTTTGCCCACTACTCACCAGAAATCGACGTGGTCGGCATCACGACGGTGCTGGGCAACGCAAGCCTCGATACCGTTACGCGCAATGCGCTGCATATCTGCGAACGGTTTGATATCTCGGCGCCGGTACACAAAGGTGCCGCCGCACCGCTGTTGATCGCCGCGGATGAACCCCCGGCTTTTGTGCACGGGGACGACGGCTTGGGCAATATCAACCCAGACACGCCAAGCGTTCAACACGAATCTGCCAGCGCAGCACAGTTTATTGTCGACAAGGTTGTGCAGCACCCACACGAAATAACTCTGGTCGCTGTCGGTCGATTGACTAATCTGGCTCTGGCCCTGCGCCTGAACCCCGAGATTACCCAGCTGGTTAAAGAAGTGGTCATCATGGGCGGCGCCTTAGGTACCAATGAACACACCGGCAATGTCACACCTGTTGCTGAAGCCAATATTTACGGCGACCCCCACGCGGCAGACATTGTGCTCACCGCCAACTGGCCGCTGACCTTAGTTGGACTGGATGTCACCATGACGTGTGTCATGCAGCAGGCGCAGATGCGCCACCTGCGAGACAGCGCAGGCGCTGCAGGCCAGTTCATCTGGGACATCAGCCGCCACTATGAAGACTACTACCATCGAACACGGGGCGTTAAAGGCTTCCCGGTACACGACTCCTGCGCCGTAGCCTACGTGTTAGCTCCTGAGCTGTTTCAGGTACGCAGCGGTGCGATCCGTGTTGTTACCGAAGGCATCAGCATTGGCCAGACGATTATGGTCCCCGGCGGCAGATTGTTTCCGCCCGGAGACTGGCACAACGTGCCGGAAAGCCAGGGGTGTGTGGGGGTAAACGCGGACGCCCTGCTACAACTCTACGAATCGGTGTTGCTGAAGCAATAAGTGTGAATCGCTTACATTCAGGCCCACAAGCCTGAATGCTGCATTTCAAACTCAAGCAAAAATCGTTTGGTCTCGAGACCACCACCAAAGCCAGTCAGGCTACCATTACTGCCAATAACCCGATGACAGGGAATAATCAACGCTATCGGGTTGTTACCATTGGCGCTGCCAACGGCACGCACCGACCTGGGATTGCCTATGGCCGATGCAATCTCTGCGTAGCTACGCGTTTCCCCAAAAGGTATCTCCTGCAGCGCGGCTAAGACGCTCAGTTGGAACGGCGTACCTTTGGGCGCCAGAGCCAGGTCAAACACCTTCCGTTCACCGGCAAAATATTCATCCAACTGTTTTTTTGCCGATGCAAACTCAGCATCTGAGTGCTGCCAATGCGGGTCCGGTCCACGCGCTTTACTGCCCGTCGAAAAATACAGACCAGACAGATAATCCTCGGTACCACTGAGTAACAGAGACCCGATAGGGCTGTCTATGTAGCTGTAAAACAATTGCGTTTACTCCTCAAGTGCTTTGGGCGGAGCTGCTAGTGAGCTGGAATACCACAAGTACATCAGTGCATAAGCACGCCAGGGCGCCCAGGCGTTCGCCTGTGCGCGGGCTTTAGCTGCCGTGCATTGCAGTACTTTAAGCACCACCCAGTCATTGTCCGGAAAAGCATCCGGATCTTTCAGCACCCGCATACGAATGTAGTTGGCTGTCCACGGCCCGATGCCGGTAATCGCCTGCAGCTGCTGCTGCACCTGATCAAAGTGGCTGCTGTCATCAAAGCCCAGGTTGCCATCACGTACCTGCCGGGCGAGCAGCGCAATGGCCTGACCACGACGGCCCGGCATGCCTAACTCGCCTACCTGCTGATCACATAACTGCTCCGGCGATGGGAAACATCCCTCGCCGTAACTGGCTACCATCTTGTTGGCCAGCACCGTTCCGCGCGTCACACTGACCTGCTGACCCAGTACGGCCCGCACCGCAGTTTCAAAACCATCCCAGGCACCGGGCACGCGCAAACCAGGGGCTGCACGAACCACCTCACCCAAGCGCGCATCTTTGCAGAGAAACTCATGAATAGTTTCCCCGTCAGCCTGCAGGTCAAAGACACGGCGGATGCGCGTTAACAGACTGTTTAACGGCACATCGGTAAGCGGCAGCACAACCTGCAGCGCTTGCGCCTGCTGATACACTTCAACCCAGTGATGTTGACCTTCACTGTCGGCGAAGCGCCGCCGGAAGCACCAGCAACCTGACTCGCCAACAACCTCTTCCAGCCCTGCAAGCGCACGCTTGTGCAGATAGGCAAACACCCAATCAAAATCATAGGGGCCTCTGATCGACAGCGTCAGACGTACACTTTTACCCAACTGTTTGCCTTCGGCCTTACGCAACATGCTGGGTGTCTGGCCAAAAACATCTCTTATCTCCTGGTTAAAACGGCTCAAACTGCCATAGCCTGCGTGGAAAGCCACTTCAGCCATAGTCATTGAGCTGGAGGCTAACAGCCCTTTCGCCAGCCGCGCGCGGGTCCAGCGGGCTATCGATTTAGGCGTGGTGCCAAGCTCCTGCTGAAACAGGCGGGTTAGATGGCGCTCACTGACCTGCAGTGCCGCCGACAATTCTGCAGTGTTGTTACGGCTCAGCCAGCCGCTCTCAATCATGCGCAGGCCACGCATAACGGTATCACTCGCCATGGTCCACTCAGGCAATGAAAGCGCCGACTCTGGTCGACAGCGCCGGCACGGTCGATATCCCGCATCCTGCGCTGCAGCCGCAGTGACAAAGTAACAAACATTATCTTCTCGCGGCATACGCGCCGGACAGATCGGCCGACAGTAGATGCCAGTGGTGCGCACGGCGACAATAAATCTGCCGTCAAAACGTGGATCCCTGCTTTGCCGGGCACGCCGACAAACAGCAATCGACGGTAATGCGCCGGGCTGAAAGGCATTGGCGGATAGCGGTGTTTTGGCAGCTGCTTGGACCATGTTCGTAAAATCAGCGAATCCAGATCGGAGAATGACTATAATTGTTCTCTTTTCACAATACTCCCCGGAAACAGACATTTGTCGAAATCACCCCGCATAGATCCCACCCAGCCGGTCAAACTGATACCGGTTTACATCGCCAAACCCTGGGGCCAGGAAATCTGGTATACCGGCATGGAAGAACGCGGCGAAAGTGCTGTGTGGGTGAACGGCGCAGAGCTACCCCTATCTGAGTATCTTGCCCACAGCGCCGGGTTACTGGCGAACCACGCACCTGTGCTGCTGTTGAAAATTCTCGACCCCAAACCACAAGCCGTAGCGGGAGAATTGTACTTTGAAGTACACGAAGAGAAGCAGGAGGTGTACATCGTCACCCATGTGGATGCACAAGCCTGGCCAGGCGGCGTAGGTGGCATTCGTTTTGGGATGGATCAGGTTAAACGCAAGTCTTTTGGCGATGCCCATCAGTTTCGCGCGGCTTACCTTGAAGCTGTACAGGCTTACGAGAAAATTCGCCGCCAGATCGATGAGCAAGGTGTAACAGACCTTGCGGACGATGAGGCAAAGGCGCGGGCCCACATGAACAGCTTTGCCGCTCTACGTGACCTTAAGGTAGGCGATGTGGTCAAAGTCCCAACCTGGACACCCCACTCATTACTACACGGTGTGCGGGTAGTGGAGTTTCAAACCCAGACCTACGAACGCTTTATTATTTCTTTTGCTCAGCAGGTGGTTACCCAGGACCACTGGGACAGCACACATGCTATCTCCCATATGCATATCGACGCGCCCGCCCAGGAACAGTTTGATCACATTGAGCCTGGCATAGAGCGGATTGCCTCCTTTACCGATTTCAATGTGTGGCGAGTTGATTTTGCACAACTGCAAACGCCTTTAAACCTGCCTGACACAGCACCTTATGCCGTCTGCATGTGTTTGACGGGCTCGGTTGAAATCGGTGGCGAACGCTATCAGCCTGAAGAGGCCTTTTTCATCCCCTTCTCCGCACTGCCGAACACCCGGATAACCGGCAGCGGAAAACTGTTGGTGGCCGCACCCAATTTATGAAATATCTTTCCCGGCGCGCACTGTTCCTGCTGGTTGTCATGTCAGTGGCCGGTCTGGTGCTGGTGTATCCGCCAAGTCGTTTGATCAGCCTGCTGTGGCCCAACTGGTCCGTGCCGTTCGGCCTTATGGCCGGGCTCCTGGCTTTCCCGCTGATCTTGCGTCTACTTCACGAACAGACAAACCATGCCTGGTCTCGCGCCATCAGCGCGGTTGTGATGACCTGGCTGGGGATTTGTTTTGTCATGCTCTGCCTGATCCTAGTCGCAGAAGTGTTGCTGATGTTTCCGCTGCCCAGCGAGACCGTCGGGCAGGGTGTTGCAGCTCTTGTTGTCCTTATCAGCATGTACGCCATCTTCAACGCTCATCGCCTGCACGTTCATAAAATCGAGGTCACCGCCAACCAGACAGTCAATGGCACGCGGCTGGCGCAGATTTCGGATGTACATATCGGCAGCCGCCAGCCAGGCTTTCTGAAACCCATTGTGCAGACGGTCAACGCACTCGACGCCGACTATGTGCTGATCACGGGTGACCTGATCGATATGTCGAATATTGACATCGACAGCCTCGCACCGCTGGGTGAAATCAAAGCACCGACCTTGTTCTGCATCGGCAATCACGAACGTTACGTGGATCTGGACGCAATCTGTCAACGCCTGTCGTCCCTGGGCATTGAGGTGCTGCGCAATCGCAGTATTGATCGCGACGGCCTGCAATTCATTGGTATTGACGATGCTGAAAGCAAATCCCAGGTAGCACGCGAGATCAAGGCCCTCAACGCTAACCCTGATGCATTTCGCATTCTGCTCTATCATCGGCCCGATGGCGCTGAAGAAGCTGCTGCCTGGGGTGTAGACCTGATGCTCACCGGACACACCCACAGGGGCCAGATTGTGCCGTTTAACTTTCTCGTAAAGAAAGTGTTCCCACGCCTGTATCGGGATTATCAGGTGGACGGCATGTTTTTGTATGTGTCGCCAGGCACGGGTACCTGGGGGCCTGTTATGCGGCTCGGCTCCAAGTGCGAAATTACACTGATTGAGCTACTGTAACCCTCGCAAAATACGACAAAGGCAATTCCCATGACCAACGCCAACTGGTCGGAGCCAACAGATCTGATTATCGAGCAGATCGAAATTGGTCCGATGCAAAACTACACCTACATCATTGGCTCGCGTGAAACCCGTGAGGTAGCCATCGTTGACCCTGCCTGGGACATTGATGCGCTGACCAAACATCTGGCAGAAAAGGACTACACGCTGAAAGCTGCACTTGCGACTCACTACCACCCAGATCACGTTGGTGGCTCGTTCAGCGGCCATAATGTTGAAGGGATTGCCGAACTGATGGCTATCAATCCGGTTAAAGTCTATTGCCATAAAGCAGAGGCAGACGGCATTAAAAAGGTCACTGAAATTTCCGACAGCGACATGGTGCGGGTGGACAGTGGTGACACTTTGAAGCTGGGCAACATAGAAGTTGAGTTTCTACATACTCCAGGGCACACACCGGGCAGCCAGTGCTTTCGAATTAAAAATACGCTGGTTTCAGGTGACACGTTGTTTATTAACGGCTGCGGTCGCGTTGACCTGCCGGGGTCAAATACCGACGACATGTATCACAGCCTGCGCAAGCTTGCGGACCTGCCGGACGACACGCTATTGCTGCCTGGACACAATTACGGCCACGTACCAAACGCCACCATGGGTGAAACCAAGGGCATGAACGTGCACCTGCGTATCGACAACATAGAGACTTGGCACGACATCATGGGGCACTAGCACCCGGACATTGAAGCGTAAACATTGAGGAGAGGGCAATGAAGACGGGCACCTTTACAGGTTTTGATCTGGACATTCGCGAACCGGGTATCGCCTGGTTTCAGTTTAACTCACCCGAGCGCCTGAACGGCATGACAACCGGCATCAAGCGCGACCTGATCGAAGCGGTGACCCAGGCACAGATGGACAACAACGTTCGGGTGCTTGTTTTCACGGGCACCGGCAGGGCATTCTGCGCCGGCGACGACCTTAAAGCCTATGGCGGTGTGGATTTAGGTGGCGAAGCGCTGGTGGACCCCATCCCCGGCGGCCATGACAACGCACTGGGTACATACAATGGCTTACGCACTATCTCTCAGGCACTGAATACAGCGGTCAGAAACATCGACAAGCTGACCATCTGCGCGCTCAACGGCATCGCCATCCAAACCGGCTTTTCCCTGGCTCTGAGCTGTGACTTTCGTATCGCGGCGGATACCGCACGCATGGGCAGCGCAACGTTGCGATTTGGCCTGTTACCGGATGAAGGAGGACAGCACTTGCTGGTACAGACGCTCGGGGTAGCAAAAACCCTGGACTTCATCATGCGCAAAAGAATCATAGATGCCGCCGAGGCCCATGATCTGGGCCTGGTCCATGAAGTGGTTGCAGCCAAAGACCTGGAGCATCACACCATGGCTCTGGCAAAAGAGCTGGCAGAAGGTCCGCAAGTAGCCATGCGCTTATTAAAACGCTCCATCTACAACGCCGCGGAATTAAGCTGGCCAGCGGCACTGGATGAAATTGCCGCTAAAACCGCCATCACCGATCACCATCCGGATGCAGCAGAAGGTGTGAAAGCTTTCAATCAGAAGCGCACCCCTGAATTTAATGCCTGGTTGAACGGCAAGGAAGACAAAGGCCATGGATAATCTGGTTACCTACAGCAGCGCAAATGATATTGCGTTGATTACCATCAATCGCCCTGATCGCATGAACGCCCTTAACGAAGAGGTTATCGTCGGCCTGCAACAAGCCTGGCAACGGTTTGAGGATTCCACCGACAGGGTTGCAGTATTACATGCTGCAGGGGATCGGGCTTTTTCAGTAGGTGCAGATGTCAAAAATCCGCCTAAAGAGATGTGGCAGGGTGTCCCGAGTGTGGGCGCCATCAACAACAAGCCTATCATTGCCGCGGTCCATGGCTGGTGCATCGGGGGCGCTTACTGCATTGTGCAGATGTGTGACCTGGTGGTCGCCTCGGAAACTACCGTCTTCAAGTATCCCGAAGCACAGCTGGGGTTTACCGGCGGTTTAATTGCCAGCGCCGTGGCCAGAATTCCACACAAAGTGGCCATGGAATTCATGACCCTGGGTGAAGATTTTGATGCGCCGCGTGCGCAGGCTGTCGGCATGGTCAACAAGGTGGTCCCTGCTGGTACGGAGCTGGCCGAAGCTTTAGCCTGGGCTGAGGTACTGGCTAAATCTGCACCGCTAGTATTGCAAACCGTTAAACAGTTTTCGCTGGCCACGTTGAACAAAAGCCCCGCAGAAGCCGCCGCCATTGCACGCGACCAGCTGTTAACTGTGCGCAGCAGTGAAGATGGTCAGGAAGGCGGACGTGCTTTTGCTGAGAAACGCACACCCGTGTTTAAAGGAAAATAACCGTGTCCTCTATACGATCAGTAACCGCCGTTTTGTTTTTCTGCTTCACTGCTTTTTACAGTTCCGCAGCCACTGCAGACGGTGAATACATCGACATTGCGCCTAAGTCGGCGGAACAGATTCAACTGGTGCTCGATACACTCGACGAAACCATCAACAATGAAGTCGAAGGGCTGCCGCCCATAGTGATGATGTTGCATGGTGACGAAGCCCACCGCTTTCTCCGGCGTAACTACGCTGACAACAAAGCCATGATCGACCAGAGTGCAAAACTTGCCGCCTACAACGTGGTTAAAGTACAGATCTGCGCCACCTGGTTGAAATCGAACAACTACGATAACAGCGACCTGTTCCCGTTTGTTTCTCCAGTGCCCTACGGCGCGGCAGAACTGGAACGCCTGGCCAGCGAAGAGGGTTACACTGAATACAGCGTCAACCTTTAAACGCTGCTACAAAGACATCAGACGGAAGCAGTTGCGCAATTCAGTGATGAACAGCTCAGGTTGTTCAAACGCGGCAAAGTGCCCGCCTTTGTCCAACTCATTCCAGTAAACAATATTCTTGTAGCGCTTTTCCGCCCAGCTGCGCGGCGCAGGCACAATTTCTTTGGGAAAAATACTGCAGCCTGTTGGCAGCTTCACAGTATTGTCCTGACCCGCGGCAAACGCCTGATTAAAGCTTTCCCAGTACAACCGACCGGACGAAGCGCCGTTGCCCTGCCACCAGTAATACATGACGTTATCCAACAACTCTTCTTTTGTCAGGACATTTTCCGGATGGCCGTCGCAATCGGTCCACTCGTAGAATTTTTCAATGACCCACATCGCCTGACCCACGGGTGAATCCACCAACCCATAGCCTAACGTCTGCGGTCGGGTACTCTGTTGTTTTGAATACCCCGCACCCCACTGCTGATAGTATTGTGCGCCAGCAAGTGCCCGCTTATCTCCTTCATTCGGCTTCTCCAGCGCCTCTTTGGTGGCGCGCACGTTAGGCATATTCACATGAATACCCGCGCAGCGTCCCCGGTTCTGGATTGCGATCGCGGTAGTCACCGCAGAACCCCAATCACCGCCTTGCGCAAAATATCTGTTGTAACCCAAACGGCCCATCAGCTCGTCCCAGGCTTGTGCAATCTTCTCTACTCCCCAACCCGTACCTGTGGGCTTATCGGAAAACCCATAACCAGGCAACGACGGACAAACTACGTGAAACGCATCTCCAGGATCACCACCATTCACAGTCGGGTCTGCCAGAGCGTCTATCACTTTATGAAACTCAACCACAGAGCCCGGCCAGCCATGGGTAACAATCAGCGGTCGCGCATGTTCATGAGGACTGCGCACATGAATAAAATGAATATCCAGGCCGTCGATACGCGTTTTGAATTGGGCATGCCGATTGAAGTAGGCCTGTCGATCAGCCCAGCGGTAATCGTTCAACCAGTACTGCGCTAATTCCTGAGCGTACGCCAGCGGCACTCCCTGATTCCAATCACCTGTTGTTTCTGCCTCGGGAAAACGAGTCGCAGATAAGCGCGCATTCAGTTCGTCAATCGCGGCCTGTGAAATGGCCAATTCAAAAGGGACTATCTCAGTCATCTAAAGCACCTCGTTGGTTCTGAACTGGATTAGCCTGCATTTGTCAGGCTTTCAGATGGTGGAATAAAAACGCCCAGTAATCGGCGTATTCATTAATGAGTTTCGACGTAGGCGTGCCCAGTCCGTGGCCGGCAGCGCTTTCTACCCGGAGTAATACCGGCGCATCACCCTGCTGTACAGCCTGCAGCCGGGCGGCATATTTGAAACTGTGCCCCGGCACAACTCTATCGTCAGTATCGGCGGTCCCCACCAGCATTGGAGGATACGTGCGTGGCTTGAGATTATGATACGGCGAGTAGGCGTAAAGCGCATCGAACTCATCAGCATCGTTAGCACTGCCATAGTCGTCTATCCAATAGACCCCGGCGGTGAAGTGATGAAAACGCAACATATCCATGACGCCAACCAGCGCTAAGGCTGCGCCAAACAGTTCAGGCCGTTGATTGACCACCGCGCCGACCAGCAGCCCACCGTTACTGCCACCCATAACGCCGAGGTGGGCAGGCCTGGTGTACCCTGCATCGATTAAATACTGAGCAGCGGCAATAAAATCATCAAACACGTTCTGCTTCTGCAGCCTGGTGCCTGCGGCATGCCAGGTTTCGCCATACTCTCCGCCACCACGCAGGTTAGCAATAGCAAACACGCCACCCTGCTCCATCCAGAGCACACGCGAGATAGAAAAATCAGGCGTCAGGGAAACATTGAATCCACCGTACCCATACAGGAGGGTAGGATTCTGACCATTGAGCTCGATACCCGTTTTATGACAGATGAACATCGGCACGCGAGTACCGTCTTTCGACTCAAAAAATACCTGCTTCAGAACAAAATCAGACACATCAAGGGCCACCTGCACCTGCTTAAATACTTCCAGACGCTGATCTTCTAACGACAGGTGGTAAACGGCAGGTGGATGGTTCAAGGCTGAAAAATCAAAAAATACTTCATCGTCCCACTGGCGGGACGTCACCGTCTGCACGCCACCCAGGCCAGGCAAATCCACGCTTTCAGCGTTATCACCCTGCAGATCAACAATCTTCAGGCTACTGGATGCATCCTGCAGATACCGCAAAATCAGTTGTGTGCCGCACATTTGCGCACTGTCCAATACATTGCCTGACTCAGAGACAATCTCACGCGCCTGTTGCAGCGCCTCAACGCCTGTTTCGGGACGCACAGCGATGACACGCCCATTAGGTGCGTTCTGATCTGTCAGAAAATAAAGCTCGCCCTCTACATGACCAAGACAGGCGAGGTGATCCGCAAAGCCTTCAACCAGAAACCAGGGGTTCTGATCTGCCTCAAGATGTTGCACCAGAACCTGGTTACGCCGGTCCGTTCCGATCCCCACATCAATGACCAGATAGGCGCCATCCCGGGTAACCTGCGCATCATAACGCCAGTGGGGCTGCTCGGAATTATTGAAAACAAGGGTGTCATCCGATTGCTGCGTACCCAATCGATGAAAATACACGGCATTGTTCTGCGCCACCTGATGAAACTTGTCATCGGTGCCCTGGGGGAAACGACTGTAGTAGAACCCAGTGCCGTCAGCCGCCCAGCTCAAACCGGTAAACTTCAGCCAGTTGAGAGTATCGTCACAATCCTCCCCACTGGACACATCAAGCACTCGGGCTTCGCGCCAGTCAGAGCCGTCCACCTGCACCAGATAAGCCAGGTACCTGCCATCGGGAGACACAAAATAGGCAGCCAGCGCGGTTGTACCTGTGTCGGACCACTTGTTTGGATCAAGCAGTACCCTCGGAGCGCTGTCCAGTCCAGTCTGAACCAGCACCTGAGCCTGGTTCATAAGGCCATCGTTGAAACTATAGAAGTACTGCCCCCCGCGCTTAACCGGCACGCCGTAGCGCGGGGTATCCCACAGTTGGGTCAAACGATCGTGTAAGTCCGCACGTTCCGGCAGACGCCTTAAATAATCACCAGTGAATTTCTGCTGCGCATCAACCCAGGCCCGTACCTGGGCGTCCCGACGCACATCATTTTCCAGCCAGCGATAAGGATCTGCCACCTTCGTACCGTGATAATCATCAACCTGATCCACAGTTTCAGTAGGCGGATAAACGAGCATAAAGCTTCCAGACCGCGTGTTTCGTTTAAGGCAGCAGGTGGGCTACCGCATCACGTTCTTCGCCAAGTTCGGCAGCAGTGGCGTCCATTTTGCCGCGACTGAAGTCGCCAATCTCTATGCCCTGCTCAATCTGCCAGTCACCACCGCTACATCGAACAGGGAATGAGTAGATCAACCCTTCGTCGATACCGTAACTGCCATCAGAGTAAACACCCATGCTGACGATGCCATCGCTACCCAGCGCCCAATCATGCATATGGTCAATGGCGGCATTGGCAGCAGAGGCTGCACTTGAGGCGCCACGTGCTTCGATAATCGCGGCACCGCGTTGTTGTACGGTAGGAATGAAATCGTTTTCGTACCAGTCCATGTCAACCAGGTCCATGGCTGCCTGACCGGCCACGGTGGCGCGATGTATATCAGGATATTGCGTTGCCGAGTGATTACCCCAGATGCACAAGCCGTCGACATCGTTGATGTGTTTACCGGTTTTCTGTGCCAGTTGCGCCATGGCCCGGTTGTGATCAAGTCGTGTCATCGCGGTAAAGTTGCGCGGATCAAGATCCGGTGCATTGCGCTGAGCTATCAGCGAATTGGTATTTGCCGGATTACCCACTACCAGGACTTTAACGTCTCGTGAAGCATGGTCGTTCAGGGCTTTGCCCTGCACCGAGAAAATGGCGGCATTAGCTTCGAGAAGATCTTTACGTTCCATGCCCGGACCACGCGGACGCGAACCTACCAGCAATGCATAATCAGTGTCTTTGAAAGCTACGTTTGCGTCATCTGTCTGTACGGTGCCAGCCAGCAGTGGGAAGGCACAATCATCCAGTTCCATAACCACCCCTTTCAAGGCATCCAATGCCGGGGTGATTTCCAGAAGCTGCAGAATCACCGGCTGATCAGGCCCCAACATGGCGCCGGAAGCCACGCGAAACAACAAGGCGTAGCCAATTTGTCCCGCAGGGCCGGTGATGGTAACTCGGACTGGATCTTTCATTTTAGTCTCTCTTGTTGTTTTGGGTGTCTGAACCCGGCAACCAACAGCCCTCGCGAACGCATGTCTTCAGGACCACTGTGCAACCAGATGGGCCAGGTATTGTAGGGTTATAATCAGCCGACGAACAGCCATGGCCATCGCCTTGCCCACAATACCGCCAACAAACGCTGACAGCCCAGCCACAGACAAAGGTCAATCTGACATTCATCTGACCCAGCGGATAGAAGAAGCATCGCTGAATGCCTGGCCTGCCCTGCAACAGATCCTGCTGGATGGCTGGGTCCTGCGCTTCGCTCGCGGGTTTACCAAGCGCTCAAACAGCATCGTACCGCTTTACGCCACGTCCCGGGCGGAGGGCGTGGATACGCGTCAGCGTCTGGCTGAAAAAATCCGCTATTGTGAAAATCTGTATGCCCGCGAACAGTTGCAGACCGTATTTCGCATTACCTCATTTAACACGGTGAGTCACAGCGCCAGCCTGAACGCCCAGTTCAACAGTACCAAAGCCTTGCTCGACCAGACCCTGGAGGAACGAGGCTACATACGCCAGGACACCAGCCTGGTGTTGAGCAAGCCGATCCTGACCACCCGCAGCGTGACAGGCTTTCGTTTGTTACCGCTGGATCAGTGGCTGCACGAGTACAGTCGCCTGACTGGTCTGCCTGAACCCGCGCAATCTCTGCATGGTCTGATTCTGAAGAGCATCAGTGGCGATTGTGCGTTTGCGGTTCTGGAAAACGCTGCAGGCGT